GGGGAATTGAGATACTTTCTTGGCATAGAAGTTGCTAGATCCAAGGATGGGATCCTTATCTCTCAGAGAAAGTATGTTCTTGATTTGCTCTCTAAAACAGGGAAGATGGGTGCTAGACCAGTTGCTACTCTTATCAATATGAGCCATAAACTCTCTGCTTCAGATGGAATATTGTTAGAAGATAAGGGAGTCTTCCAGAGGCTACTTGGAAAACTTCTTTATCTATCTACGACTCGGCCAGACATTGCATATGTTGTCAGTTGCATTAGTCAGTTCATGCATGCTCCCAGAGATACTCACATGGCAGCAGCAGAGCAGATTCTATGTTATTTGAAGGGCTCCCTTGGAAAGGGAATTCTATTTGCTAAGCATGGCCATGTGAAACTTGAAGCCTACATAGATGCTAACTGGGCCGGAAACATTGATGACAGAAGATCTACCTCTGGGTATTGTAGCTTGGTGGAAGGTAATATTGTCTCTTGGAGAAGCAAGAAACAATCAATTGTTGTTCGATCTTCAGCTGAAGCATAATACAGAGCCATGACTCATGGAGTTTCTGAACTATTGTGGCTTAGATCCTTGATGGAGGAACTAGGTATTGAGCATGATAAGCTAATGATGTTATACTGTGATAATCAGGCTGCCATCAACATTTCTCACAACCCAGTGCAACATGACAGAACTAAGCATATTGAAGTTGACAAACACTTCATTCGAGAAAGAGTGGCTTCTGGAGAAGTGTGTCTACCTTTCATCACCTCTGAAGGATAGTTAGCTGATTTCCTCACCAAGGGCATTCCCAAGGCTAAACTTCAGCATGATATTGGCAAGCTTGGCATGATTGACATCTATGCTCAGCTTGAGGGGGAGTGTAGAGAAGATGGGCCGAATGGCCCATAGGCTGTTTATCCTTTTTTTATCTTTTATGTTCTTTGCTGTAATGGGCCTTAATCTGGGCTTTATTCTTTCTTATGTTATGTCTTTTTAATTTTCTGCCCAACTAGGGGCTTCTCTGTAAATTGCTAAAGTTTAACTTAATGAAATAGAATCGAGGGAGTAAGAGAAGAGATTATGTTTGAAAATCTCTCTCTGAACCCAAGTTACCGCCACCTTCTTCTTCTTCTTCTTCTCTCCTCTTGAACTCTGATTTTTGCTACTTTCTTTTGAATTTTTTGCAACTTTCTAAACAGTCCTTTCTTCTCAAAAGGCTGTTTTTCTTCTAGTTCTCTTTGCTCAATGTGTTATATGTGAAGAAGTGTTTCTTGGTGATTGATTGATTGATGTATAGCCACTGTTGGTGCAAATATTAGTGGTTTTTCAAGTCGACAAGGATTTAGTAGTCTTCTCATGACAGTTTTCCTTTTATGGCCATAGAGATGTTATTGATTTAGAGTGTTTCTCTACTGTTTGTTCGAAAGTCGGTATAATCATTTCCTTTTTTCAGCCTTGTGTTTGGGCTCGAGATACTGTTACAACTTTGTTTTGGGGGTTTGAATTGCTGTTTTTCTATTAGAAGGGGACGCTATAAGGTGTAGAAGTTCTTCCTCATGGTCACTGAGGATTCGGTTACTTCTGGAATCACCCCTCTTGATGGATTGAACTACTTAGTCTAAGTTTGGGATGCTTATTTTTAACTGCTTATTTCAATAAGCACTTATTTTGGGCCGGGACCACACCAATAAGCACTTACATGTGTTTGGGAAATAAGCCTGAATAAGTGCTTATTCTTGAAAACAAGCACTTATTCAAGAAGCCCAAATTTTGAGCTTATTTTTAAGTTCCAGCTCATCTTGGTCCACCATGTCATATTAAAAATACCCATACTACCCCTGCTTGAAGTAAATGCTTTTTCACCAAACACTCATGAGTGCTTATTAGGATAAACACTTTTAAGAACTTATCCAATAAGCACTTATTTATCTAATAGGCACTCCCAAAGATGGGCTTAGAATGTTCCTAGAGTGAAATTATTCATTGTAGGAAGAGGGAAGGCCAGGTATGTCAATGGTAGAGTTAAGGAACTTAGGACTGGTACTACAAAGCTTGATAGATGGGACCAAGAAAACATTATGGTTATATCCTGGATTCTTTCTTCCATGCAGCCACATCTGAAGAAGAACTTCATGTGGGCTAATACTGCTTATGAGATTCAGGAACAAGTGAAGGCAACCTATGCAGAACAGAGGCATTATGCAAGGATGTACCAACTGCAGGCTGAGTCCTCAACTTGTAATCAAGGGGAAAGGAGTCTTTTTGCTTGCTATTCAGCCCTCGCTTCTTGGTGGAAAGAATTAGACAACCATTAGAGTATTGACTGAAGGATGAGGATGATCCCAAAGCTTTATAGGAAACTGGTGTCTTGGAAGAAGAGTGAGACTATTAAGAAGCCAGAGGGTGATGGAAAGAATAAGTTGTGGTGTACACATTGTCATTGCCTTAGACATACTTGTGAGACTTGTTGGGATTTAGTAGGAAGGACACAAGAAGTACAATTCAAGAGTCCACAAGAAGCACACTAAAGAAACCCACCAAGAAACAAACCCACAAGAAGTACAATTCAGCTAATGTGGCATCTCAAGAGTCCTGGCCTAATAGTATTATCACTGGTTCGTCTCAGGACCATTCTACCAATTTTGATCCAAAGGAGGATACTATAAACTCTTTTACAGATTGTTTGGAGTTGTATGGTAAAGCACTTCGTCAAATGGAAGGGGTAGCCTCTACTCCACCTACCTCATTTGCATCTACATCAAGTAATAATGCCGCTTTCCATGTGTTCACCCATGCTACTGAATTTCCTTAGATCATCGACTCAGGGGCTTCTAACCACATGATTGCTAATTCCAACCTTTTTCCATTCTTATGGTCTCCCATTTGGTAAAGATAAAGTTAGGCTAGCAGATGGTTCTTTCTCAACCATTAGTAGCCAGAGATCTCTCTCTCTTTCATGGCCCAACTCTTATTAATTTTCTTCATGTTCCTAAACTTCCTAGGGGAACAACATAGACACGAGGGTTTTTGTTGAATTCATGAGAAAGTGGGAGCTTGTTTATCTTCCTTCTTTGGGAAATAATGTAATTGGATAGGTTTGTGGTGTCAACACAATGGGAAGAAAACTTTCCGTGCTTGTCTCTGAAAGCTCCGCCTATATCTTTATCAGATCATACACCAATTTGTCTTGATATTGGTGAAATTCCTCTCCTGTCCATTTTGTTTTGAAAATAGATGGCTAGAGGAACCAGGATTTATGGAGTTACTAGCTGGTGGGAAAAAATGCAGTTTGAGGGATTGGCCAGCCATGTTTTGAGCAAAAATTTGAATAGAATATGGAGGAAGTATTTAAAGGAGGGGAAAATAAAGAAAAACGGAGTTTGGACTGATTGAAGAGGAAGGTAGAATTAAGGAATGCATAGTGGACTTTTATTCAAACCTGTACAGAGAGAAGTGGAAGTGTAGGCTAAAACTGTATGGGTTAGAGTTTTAAGGGGATTACAGATGAACAAGCAAGGGATTTGGAGGGATATTTTTGAGGAGGGGGGTAAAGCAGTGGATCTGGATGGTTTTTTTATCAATAAAAAGAATTCATTAATGATTCATTAATTTAGTACAGACATCAAAGCATTTTTCCAACTAAAATTACATCATATTACAACTTTTCCCAAAATAGAAGAGGCCTATTTTGCTAATGCATCTGCCATCCTGTTGGCAGTCCTTCTTACCCTATCTCCAACCATTCTAAAACCCTACTCTTTTTTTAGTGAACACTTGCATGGATGCATGGTCAACAGAGCGACAATCTCTAGTTAAAGTTGAGGAGTGCTCTTGGAAAAAAAAAATCTATGAAACTAATCATCAAATACAAGGAAAATTAGAAAAAAAAAGGTTCAAAAATCACTGAATAAAAAAATCTCCTTAATGATTCTCTATATGGACCAAAAGACAGATGCCTTTTATCAGATTATATTTTGTGTCTTTTTGATAGATGGCTTTTACCAGATTCATCATCCATGGTTGTATTATTTTTGTACTCGGATGGTTGATTTTATTCTGTTATATTTACAATGAGCCCTTTTTTAATGGATCATTTTAACAAAACCCATAGGAGAGAAATAAATGCCATGGCAGTGGCTGTAAAGGTGGTGATGGGTATCAGGGTTCAGCCTAAGGGTAACTGTTTTAAGATAGAATCTAAGGCAAGAGTTTCTATTATTTTATGAAAAGATTTTAAAATCCAGGACACTTACCAATATAATCAGTTCATGGTGGGTTGCATCTGACAAATCTTTGACATGGCAGTATTTGATTCGACTCGAAGGAAAATTCCTCCAGTCCAAATGCAGATGATCCGGACTGCTTAGCTGTAACCTAGGTGGTGGTACACCCAAATTAATTGACTTAGTCAAATACTTCAGACCAAATCAATCATATATGACTTGCATCCTATACCCATATTTTATGCTATTTATATTGTTATTTTATGTTATTTATATTGTGACTTAAAATGTTTAATTTTATATGACCATAATATTTATAATCATATACGTTATTCAGTTTGCTCCTAAGCATGTGTAATGATATAGAAAGGGTGGCTAAATATTGGAGGATCAGATTACACTTACGTATTTTGATATTTAATTTCTTATATGCTGTAACTTTATTGCTGTTTATACAAACTTACACAAAATAAGCATGATTTGTACTGCTTAAGCTTTAAAATTTGGGTTTATTATTCATTGCTTCAATATTTAAATTTTTTTGTGGCTTCCATTAAGGTATCATGCCACTTATTGGTTAGTTCTCCATACAGTAAAAGCACTTTAAATGTACATATCTAATGTTTCATGTCTTTTATTGTATGCTTAATTTCGTGTCTTTTATTGTATGCTTCATTTCATGTTTTAGCATGGATATATGGTTTCATTTTTCTATTCAAGTTTGCTGATAGTACATTATTTATATATTATCTACTCACTAAGTAACCGTCTTGAATACATTGGATCTAAGCAATTCTTTTTCTTTTCTTTTTGGTAAAAGAAGTTGGATGTTAGCTTTACAATTTATATGAATTATCCATTTGGTATGGGGTTTTCCAGGATATGTGAAATTATTGATGCGACTTCGGGCACTTAATTCATCCAATGTGTCAAGATGGCTTATTTCAACTTGCATCTTCTTGAATGTTCATAATTGACTTTATTAGGGCAGTTTGAAGCTGTTCTCATTACTAATGATTGCTGAATTCTCATTGGTTCTATGCTATTGCAAGGTGATACTACACTCCCAGGTGAGGGCCACATTGACCATTTATGATGCTTGGCTAGATCTACAACCTGGATTTATTCATGTGGGTCAAGGTGATGGGAGACCAACTTCAAGCTTCTTTCCACTTGTCATCTCTCCATCATCAAGAGCTGGAATTCTGTTTGGGATACGCTTAGGGAGTGGAAAAACTGGAGGTAATCCACATATATTTCTATTCAAACCTGTCGAGTGATTTTGGGTTTTCGCATCTTTCTTTCTCTCTAACTTCCTCTAGAAGTTTTGATTCTAGCATAGATAGACATTGTTGACTAAAACATCAAATTAAATCAGCAAGGGTTTGTTATTGATCCCATGTACATTCTTTCATTAATTCTTCCAATGCCAAGAGTTTTCTATTTCTATAGTTTTTGTAATTTTGTGCCAAATATTCTAAAAATACCTTCATTTAGGTAACCTCCATGAGTTCTGATTACTTGTTCTACCAAATTTCATTCTAAAACTCTACCTAGAATTCTAATTTTTAGAATTTGGGTTTTCTTTGGGAAGCATATTTTTTGTCCTTGTGTGCATGTGCATATACCTGGAACCTTGTTGAACTTGGTTTGTCCCTACATATCTCTATTCTAAGCCTTCATCCAAAATATCATCTGTTCCAACCCTATACTTATTTTGTTCACTTAGAACCCTTTCATAACTTCAGGAAAAATCTGTATTCTTTCGATAAGCCCAAAGAGCCTTTCTAACCCAATTTTTTCTACCTGTTAGCATGAATTGATGCCCAAGTCCTGTTAAACCTTTTAACCAGTTCTATAAAATCCATCTTGAGTTGAATCTTCCTTACACCAATTGGAATCAGAGTAGTTAATCTTGCATCAATCAGTTGTAAAAACCATATTCAGTACCTTTTTTCAACAGTTCTACACCTTTTTTTTTCCATTAATTATATTTTTGATTTCCTTTTCTATAGCTAGCAATGGAAAGTCTTGTGGACTTTCTGACTTGGTATGTTCATGTCAGCTTCATTGAATCCTACATTCCTGTAATCTGTGCCTGTGCCTATGCCTATTCATCTGACCGATCAACTAACTAAGAACTGGTATCCATGTTTGGCTATTAGTCCAGTTGCAACCTTTGGTATTTTGACTACATAGGTTTCTTCATTGTCCTGCTAATTTGGAAATTGTTTTGTCAACCATTGTTAAATGCTAATTGAGCTATGGAATTTGAGTTCTTTAGTTTTAATCCCTGGTATTCTGACTGCATGTTGACCTAGGGAGTCACCATAATAATATATATGAAAGAGATTTTCTGCAAATGAAGTGTGAACTTTTGTTTGAAAATACATATTAGAGATTGTACATGTAAAAAAAGAAGGCCATTACCTAATGTTGGTCCCAGTTATCTTGGATCTTGGGAGGGGTGGCCTGGACATGGGTCTAACATATTATTGATTAATAAATGTAATATAGTAAATTATTTGACTGCAGGTAGCCATATTCTTGCTGTCATATGTTTGGAAATCTGAAAGTCCAATACCTTAAATCCATATTCCATATACATACTGAAACTGGCATGCCTTAATTGAACAAGGAAATCAATGATGAACTTTATGATTTTATTTGTGGGGGAAGGCATTGAAGTTGATGTTTTTCCCATTCCTCAATATGGGAAAGATGTCTTGAATACAGAATAGTTTAGTTCTAAAATTTTCCCCGAGTAACAACAGGTTAAGGTGAGAATTCAGTCTCATCTACTTAAATTAATGCAGGGGCTTTACCATGGTGAAGAGAATTGTTAGTTAAATTTCTAGTATATTTGTTTCTAAATACTTGAAACTGCAGGATTCTCATAGTTGAAATGGACTTATATGTTGTTGGACATCCCAATAAATGCAACCACTACTTGTTTTCACAGATGAAGCAGAGACATCACATGCAGATAGTATATTAAACATTAGATATGGTATCTCTGGTGATAGAACCCATGGGGCACATACACCTGTGGCTGCGGAACCCACTGGATCTCAAGGTGACAAGCATGATTTGCTCTTCAGGAGTGCACTTGTTCTTGAAAGACCTGTGCTTGATCCCTGTCTGGCAGTTGGTTTCCTGCCGCTTCCTTCTGGTGGATTAAGAGTTGGGCAGTTGATTAGCATGCAATGGAGAGTTGAAAGATTGAAGGATTTTGAGGAGAATTCCATTTCCCATGATAGTGTAAGTCATCAAAAGCCTTTCTTCTTGATGGCATCTCAAATCAACCAGTTCCTTCTTAATAGTGGAAAAGAATAGCGTATCCCATTTTATCCTATTTCTATTATGATTTTCTGGGCTTTATATGGCTATTATTTTTCTGATTATATTGTATAGGATACTGCAATTTTAATGTGAAATGCCTTAAAAGAGAATGCTAGTGTAATTTACTTATTCTTTTAGGTAAAGTTGCTAGGGGATTTGGCTACCAGAAAACTTGGGGTAGTAGCATTCCATTATTTAGTTACTGAACTTAAAACAAAGAAAATAATGTATTAGAATATGTTTTTGTTCCCAAGGCATACTTTTCTACCTCAGAGATGTGTAGCTTTTAGAAAATTATTGGTTACGTGACTGTTAACATGCTGCAAATTATACTTATTCTTGTACAACAGGATGAGGTGTTATATGAAATCAATGCGAATCCAGATAACTGGATGATTGCTGGGAGGAAAAGAGGGCATGTGTCACTATCTACAAAGCGAGGTTTGTATACTATTTGGTGTACATGTTCATTGGTATGTACAAGGAAAAATAACTGGAAGCTCACAAGCTATCAAAAATGGTCCAATAGGTTTTACTGCTGTGGGTCCTTTAGGTCTCTATTTGATTGTGCTGATCTAGACAACTAAAAATAAATTGTAGAGGTCGTGGGACCCATGGTTTTGGAACCTATGGTTTCATCTAACAAGTGGGATGCATGCTACCTGGTCTTGTTTTATATTTTCAACCTGATTTTAACAGTTCTAAACATTTTGGAAGCAGATTTAAGCAGTTTTATACATTTTTTGCTTGTCACAGGTTCAAGGATTATTATCTCGATTATATGTGTGCCACTGGTAGCAGGATACGTTCGTCCTCCTCAACTTGGACTGCCCAATGTTGGTGAGGCAAATATAGCTTCCAATCCTGAAGGGCCCCACCTTGTTTGTGTCTTGCCTCCAGCTCTGAGCTCTTCATTTTGTGTTCCAGTATGATTCCCATCTCTCCATAGGAAAATTATCTCCTTGAGGTCTTCTACCAACCCTGATCTTGTAATTGGATTTGTTTTTAACCACTTACAAATCCATGTTGCCTAGCCATGTAAATTCAATATCTACTCTTGGTAATTAACCTGCAATGTGTACATTTTTTTTTATTTTTTTGTTTTTCCCTTTTGTTAAATGAGAAAAGAAAAGGATAGTGGAATTTGGTTGTCGGAGAAAATTAGCTGTCACAGATTGATAAGAAAAAGGGAAAAAGAAAATTTGATGATGAAATTCTCAATTTCTTTCAGTTTCGTTCTCTCTTTTGTCAAACTGGTGGAAAATGCAACTACGTACCTGTTCATTTGCTCTAAAGTCTGACATCTATTAAGAGGTATATCGGTATTGGTGAACTTTTTTTTCCTCTGAATTCTGAATTCTGAAAATTGTCAAATGTCCACTTTAACCCTATATCTAAGAATTTTTTGTTTTTTATGTAATTCAATAAAAAATAATATTAAAAATTAGTATAATGATTAATAATTATTGTTAATTAATACAATTAATTATTAATTAATATATTAGTTAATAATTAATTAACAAATAATAATTATTAATTATTAATAAATTTTTGTAATTCATTAATAATTAATTATTATTATTAAATAATTATCATTATTAATTATAAATAATTAATAATTAATAATTAAGAATGATTATTGTTATTACTATTATTATTATTAATTCATTATCACTAATTATTAATTATTATTATTTTTAATTACTATTAATTAATAATAAGAATAATTATTAATTATTATTATCACTAATTATTACTAATTAATAATTAAAAATTACTAATTCATTAATAATTAATAATAATTATTCTTATTAATTTATTATTATTACTATTATTCGTCATTAACAATTATTATCATTGCTAACTATTACTAATTAATAATTAATAAATATTAATTATTATTACTAATTAATTATTTAAAATTATTATTACTAATTAATATTTAATAATTATTATTTATTACTAATTATTATTTCATTGTTAAGTAATTATTTGTATCATTATTATTACATAAATAATTAATTATTCTAATTAATAATAATAATAATTATTATTATTATTAATTAATTTCAATTATTGTTAATTTATGCATTACTGATTATTAATATTATTAAAAATTGTATAATACTATATAATATTATTATTGATTATTAATTGTCAATAATATTAAGTACTAATTAGTCATTAATGAATTGATATTAATATTATTATTATATATTATTTATTAGGACATAATTATTCATCCATTAATTATTAATATTATCCTTTAAGTATCAATAGTCATACTTTGCATTTAACACTCTGTTACGTTCAGTGGTAAGAGCAATCGAACAGTCACAAAATCGTTGAACGTGTACAGTGACCATTCAGAGATACCGTTCAACGATACCAAACGTGCCCTAGGTCACGCATGTTAGAATTTCTCCAACATGGGCAGCATGGTTTTGTTATCTAGGGATGCTCATAGATAACCGAAAAGTTGAACTGAACCAAAAAAATCGAACTGAAAATGCATTTAAATATAAAAGATAACTGAAATCGGCCAACCAGTTTACCATTAGGTTTTTGTTTTGGGAATTGCAAAAATCAGTGGTATCGGTTTGGTTTCAAAAAAGAGTCCATGTTTCAGTTAATCAAACCGTGAGCATCCTATTGTTGTCCACCATCGCTAGAAGCCTTAGAGTTTTTCCCCCAATTTTCTTTTGTAGGCAATTAAGGCTGAATAAAAAAGTGGCAACAGAACAACCCCCCCCCCCTCTCCCCTTTCTCTCTCTAAAAGTGATATCGTGCCACTTGAGAGTCCCCTTGTTATTTGTAAATGTCTGTATTACTTGTCTCAATTTGCTTTATGATTGGGTTCCAAACTTCCCATGATCAATTATGACTTTTTTTTATTTATTTGCTACGAGTACCACCATCCATGATTTATTTAAATTTGAAAAAATGAAAATTAGAAAATCAAAGAAGCAGAGACAAATGAGGAAGACAATCCAACAGAAGCTCGCTATAAGGCGAGAAGTATTCAAACAAGTCTTAGGGAAAAAAAATGAAAAAAAAAATCAATAGAAATTTTCTTTTCAAAAATTCTTTTCTTACCCTAATTAAGCTAAAAAGGCTGTTTAAGATTTGAACGTTATGCAGATCCGCCATTTTGAAAGTTCCTTCTTCGAAAGGAATAGAAAAGAGAGATGAGGATATGTTGATTAGATCTATTCATGGGCCAGGTAGCCCTACAGGCCGGCCCAGCCCAGCCCGATCTAAGTCAGGTTTGGGCAGGATTTTAGGCTTGCAGGTTTGGGCTTGGGCCTAAAATATTGGGCCCGACCTTTTTTGGGTCAGTTTTGGGCTGTCTTAAAAAAATTGGCCCAAGCCCGACTTGATAATGTATTATATAATAAAAATATATTTTATATAATAAAAAAGCATATATATAATATATTTTTCTTCTCTTTTTTCAAGTAATAATGAGATCTTTCATTATTTTTTTAGATTTTGAGTTCTTTTAATATAAATAAAATAATTTTTAATTGAATTAAAAAATTAAAAAAAAAAACTTTTTTTCCAAATTTATGGCTAGGCTTGGGCTTGAGCTCAAAACCTAGGCCCGATGGTCGGTTTGAAGGGGTGAGCACAATTTGGTTAAAACCAAAAAACCGAACCAAACTTTTGGTTTTGGTTGAATTGGTTCGGCTTATTCGGTTGTTTGGTTGGGTTCGGTTTCTCTATTTTTCGGTTTTCAGTTTTCGGTTACTATGTTTGCTAAATCGGTTAACCAAATTAACCGATTTAGTTTTATTATATATTATTAATAATATTTATAAATATACAGTATACATCGAACTCGAATTTGGCTATATGCCAAATTTCCTTATTAAGATATAACGTAAAAGACTCAAAATTTCTTATGAGTCACAAAACAGGAAAGAGTACTCTGACTCTTCGTATTCTTCCACACTCCATGTCCTGAGTCTCCTGACGTACACAGACCACAGTCCACACGAAGTCGGCTTCGCTGCTTCGGGCCTTCAGCAATCAGCAGTTCAGACTTCGGTGCTCATAGTTACAGAGTACAGAGACTCTTCGGCAGTTCGCAATTCTCCAGTTCAGTTCTTCTTCTTTATTGGCTCACCGGTGCTAGGTAACTCTGAAACCTTCTTCTTCTTCTTCTTCTTCTTCTCTGTCGAGTCTCGACTTCTCTTGGTTATAGCATCCATTTTTATTTTCTACATCAGAAATCTTCTCCGTCAGAATAGAGACTCTTCTCCGTTTTTATTTTCTTACAGCTACAGAGTATAGAGACTCTTCTCCATCAGAACATCCTCCAAGGTTGGGGACTTGATCCCTCTTTTTCTTTTGATAAACTGAGACTTGCTCTCTCTCTCTCTCTCTCTCTCTCTCTCTCTCTCTCTCTCTCTCTCTCTTTCTCTTGTTTGTTTCATCTTTGTTGTATCATTTCCTTGTCATTGATGTGCTACTGTTGGAAAATGGGGTCACTGTAACTTTGGAGGAGAAACTCTGAGGCGCGTCTGAAGACATTGTCTTTATATTTGCCCCCACTCAGTTTCACCGAGTTTGTTGTTGGGTTATAGGCAAATCCGTTCCCAAGATACAACAGAGCCTTGGGTGAGAATTTGCAACCAGCAAAGTTGAAGAATTTTTGAAGAAACCTTATGCGAGACTGTAGTAGACCAGACTGAGAGAGAGAGAGAAAGTGGATTTCGAAATTGTGTTTTTGAAGTCTGATTCATGCTCCTTAAATAGTTTATGAAGATGTATGAAGAAAAGGTAGGTGTTGGTTTAGAGAAGGCACCTTGAACAGTCACAATTTCAAACATTATGACTGCTTAAAAAGTTGTTAGCAGTTAATGACTGTTAACTTTGAATTGTGCCTCTTGATCACACCCGATCGAATCGTGATCGTTGATCTCATCAACAATGATAAATGGTCAGCATCGCACCAAAACCAAAGCCGCCTTTCACGATCAACGGTGATCAATGGTGCGCCTCTAAAGCGCCTCATTGCGTCGCACAGACATGCACACACGCGTGCATGCACGTTGCACGGTATCAAACCCCCATACTCTCCTCTACTGTTTCTAAGGAGTGTAAATCAGCTCCTATTAAAATACTGAAAACAAAACTTATAATTTTCCAATGTGGGACAAGTTCAAAATTGGGTTTTGTAAGAGAAAAGCTAATTTTTCAATCAAGTGTGCAGGTGCAATTTCTCATGTAATTGACCAATCAAACCCATTGGATTTAATCTCTTATGAGATTAAAATCCAACAATCCCCCAAATTGATTAATCAATTACATAGTTCTCTCTCAATCCAAACTACTATGACATAGTTATCTATACAAAAGGTGTTTATCAACTTAAACCTTTTGTTAGTATAGATATCTTAGAGCCTTGTCGAAGTTATTGGTGGTAAGACCTTAAACCAATTACTCTCAAAACAGACCGGAGACACTCATACACACAAAAATGTCCAGTCTCTGCAAGAGTTTCAAGTTTTGCTCAACACTGTTATAGCCATGTGTTTTTTTTCCTGGTTTCATGAACAACCCTGAGAGCAAACCCAAACTCTCATGAGAAGCGGCACCACTTCTATGTTCACATAGGTGAAGCTCCACTATGTGTTCCGTTATTTGACACATTTCATAACTTCATTAAGAGTTTAACTCAACCTCTTTATCATAACGGGCATCATTGTTTATATTGTGATGGGAAATTTCTCAATGTCAGTGTTAACAATCACATTCCTATAACTTGTTGTTACCCATTAAACTCAATACTAATAGTTTTTCAGTTTAGGTTGGGTTACCATTACAGGTGACTAAGTAAATGGTTTTAATCCCATCTCTTTGATTGTCATTCTTACTAATTCTCTGGCCAAGCCCTTGGTAAGAGGATCAGCCAAGTTTTTACTTGACCTCACATAGGTTATAGTGATGATTCCATCTTGAATCAATTGCCTAATAAATTCATGTCTCAGACTTATATGTTTAAACTTACCATTGTAGGTACCACTGTAGGCTCTTGACAGATTTGTCTCACTATCATAGTAAATGGAAATTGGAGGCATAGGACTAGGCCAAAGTTTTATATCCAATAATAAATTTCTAATCCATTTAGCCTCTTTTCTAGTAGCCGCTAAGGCTATGAATTCGGATTCCATGGTTGAGTGAGATATACAAGTTTGTCTCTTGGATGCCTAAGAGATCGCACCCCCACCAAG